CACGTGCGTGCTCTCAGGCACGCACTCGCCAGCATCCTCTGCCGAGACACCTGGAACCGCCCAGCTGATCCCAGAATGCTCTTTTCCTCCAAGTAGCTAAGCCTGGAATTGCTTGGAATCAGACCCAGAAAAGTCCCCGGTTCCTTCCTGGCAGCCTCAGGAGACAAAGCTGCCAGTGTGAACGCAGCTTGGGGAGGGGGCCACTGGGTCCCTCCAAGATGACCGCCAGGGCTCCCCAGCCCTCTTCACAGCTCTTTAGAGCCTCGGGGTAGGAGAGGCTTGAGGGGAGGCTGAGATTTCCTCAAGTCCTTCCTCTGCTCAAACACCCCCCCACCCCCACCCCTCACCCCCAGTGGCTCTCCACTGCCTACTGAATAAAGTCCTAACTCCTATACCTGGCATTTGAGGGCCTTTGTGACCCTCACCATTCAGCTTCTTCTCTCATTCAAATTCCCCCTATGCTCGTCTCCTCCCTCTCCCAGCCCCCAACACTCCGAGCACAGGGGCTACTTAGCCTGGCTCTTTCTGGCTTAAGCTGCACCTTCATGACCCACTTTCAGGCATTTATTTCTTCATGCTCCCTCTCCCCCCAAACCCAACCTTCCAGGCTCAGATGCTCCTCCCTCATGTTTTTTCTGGTGTTCCCTCCTTGGTTGGAGTTAAATCCTATTTCACAGGACTCAGCCACCCCAAAATAGACTAGCCCGCCTGGGAATGTAATCTCTGATCCAGGGTCAATAGCTTCTGATGACTGCACCTCTAAACATAGCCTCCAGGGGTCATAAAGCTTTTACAGGGAAAAGTTAGAAGTGAAATTTCAACCAGATAATGGGTGTCTGTCTGAACAGGTATGGTGTGGACGGCAAAGGTAAGGCTGTTGGTCACTCTACTTTGCCTTCAAGGGCCACCATGACAATAGGAAGGGGGTTGATTGAATTTCCTACACCATGAATTCGTACCATTTATTTGGATAAACTTTAATACACATCCATTTACCTCAGGCTTACCCAGGAAGGAATTATTATACCCATTTTATAAACGTGGGTCTTGAGGCTCAGAGAGAGAAGGGATTTGCTCAAGAATGTTTGGCAAGTAAGTAGCAGAGCTGGGACTCAGGAGTCTGACTCCAGAGCTCCCCCATCAGTCTCTGAGCTGGATGGGAAGATTCTTTCTTCCCTTCAGCAAATACTCTCTGCCTGTCTGCTGTCTTTGCACATGTTCTTCCCTTTGCCAAAAATGGCCTTCACACTGACTACCTGGTGAACTCATATTCATTCTTCTAAACCCTGCTGAGCATGCCCTCTCCCTTCCCTGAAGATCTCTACTCTCTCTGTGATACAAATTCTGCTCCTGTGTGCATTCGTATCCCCGTACTCAACGTGGTGTTGTCGTGCATCTCCCCTCTTGCATCCTCTCCAGTTCTGGGACTCCGAGAGGCTAGCTAGCATCAGGTTCCCATGCCTCTGTCCCTGGGGAAGTGAGACCCATAGGCTGAGTGGAGCATCCCCACAGCTGGGAAGAGGCATACAAAGGAGGCTAGATGTGCTAGGGAACAGAGACTGTGCGCAGGGAGGTAGCAAAACCCAAAAGGCACTCAAGGAAAGGCTAGGAGAGTTGCCAGGAGCCTGGTAGGTCAGTTGGTTACAGCGTCCTCCGGATGCGCCCATCCATTCTGGGTCAGGGCACATACAAGAAGCAATCAATAAATGCAAAAATAAGTGGAACAACTCTCTCTCAAATCAATTTAAAAAAAGAAATAAAGTATTTTTTTAAGTTGGCAGGAAGCAGGCAGATTAACTGCTCATTTGTTCATTCATTCCTGCC